TCCATATGGAAGTGACCCTAGTTTAAGCTTAGATTAAGACTCAGATAAATGTGAATTTATCTATAAAAAATGGAAATGATTCAATACAATATTCGTCGGAAGCATTAGATTAAAAGTCCTATTTGGAATTAGTGTTTTTGTTGATTTCATCAGAGTTTCGGTGATCGAAGTCATAAAACAGACATTGATTCAATTAGATCTAACTTCAAACTTGAAAACATAATTTTCGAATCTTTCAATTTTGATGAAACAAGGCTAAATTTAAAAGAAATAAGCTTCAAATCTAGTAGATTTTTCAAAAAGGACTAGATCATGTAATTTCGGGACGAGCCTAGAAAGCCTCATTCAGAAGAAAAGACGGGAAATAAAAGCATTTTCTTGGATTCAGCTGGCATTTGTGTAATCAGGAACTGCTCAAGCCATATGAATCAATCATCTCATTACCCACAATGCCAAATAAACTGCACAAAATTTTGGGGCTGTTGTGATTTGAGCTGCATTTTGTGGTTTTCATACACAAAATGCCCGATTAAAATTGAATTGAAATGATTGAACACGAGAACTGAATGACTTAATCTAATTTAAATTAATGAATCATATTCAAAGCGAGTTTTTGAAATGCACGACGGAAATCAGATTTAAATGGTTGAATATGATAAATGATCAATGTGACTAGAATTTTAATATGTTGAATCCTCTAAATGCCCTATTGGACAATTTAAATAAGAATTTTGAATGATCTAAATGCAATATTTCACTTGATTATTGCAATTTTGTTTTCTTTGTTAAATTATATAGGAATTTTTATTTGTTAAATTGTATAATAATTCTTAACTTAAATGATTTTTAGATCATTTAAATTTTGATTCTAATTTAAATTTCGAAAAAAGTCGAGTTTTCCTTACTTTTAACAGTTTTCTGCCGTAATATGACTTTGAAAATACGGAAAAAAATTTGTTTTCACCTTTCAATTATTTTGAACCTCGAAACCGACGTTAATTTGTGAAAAGAGTGATGATGTGGTGCGTTACCGGTCCTTGGTACAGTTATGAATCATATTCCCGTCATCAAAAATTGTTCGAGCCTTTATTTTACAAAAGCCAAATTTTTTGTCGCCATCAATTATCTGGGGACCACTAAACGATGGTTGATTGACGTGGTAGGGGACTCGGAACTGTATACGAAGGTAAATGAATAAATATAACAAAAAAAAAATGAAAAAAAAAAAAAAATATATATATATATATATAACTCCCAAAACCATATTAACTAAATTTTAAAATTATTAAGGGAAGACCGGATCATAAGCAAAAAATTGAAAAACCAAATTACAAAATTATTAAAAGAGGACCGGATCATAGCCGTATCTTTATTGGTGTGGTAAAAGTAGGAGGAAAGAATTTCACGATCCTATATAGATCCGAAAAAAGAAGCAAAACACAATGTAGCCTATGTTGCCATATCCAAAAGAAGCCATACACAATTGGTAAAAAGAAAAGAAGTAATTAAAATTAAAGATGACGAAGAATAGAAGATCAAAATTACTTATGTTGTCATATCACAATTGGTAAAAATGAAAGAAGTAATTAAAATTAAAAATGACGAAGAATAGAAGATCAAGATTGTAAGGGAGAAATAATTTAAATTAAAGATGAAGAAAAATAGAATATCAAAATTACAAGGGAAGAAAAAAATTTTGATATGAAGAAACATATTGAAAAAGATCTTCGTAATTTTATTGAAAATCATGTACAAAAAATTTAAAAAAATAAAAATTTTCATCTAATGGAGATTGTTAAGGATAATGCAAATAGTATTGGTGTAATAGGAGTTATCTCTCTCTATCTACGTAGTTATCCCTCTGTCTAGTAATGTGTAGTTTCTCTAGATATGGGTAGTTTTTTTCTCTCACTTTCATGTGCTGGGTAGTTTCTCTAGATATGGGTAGTTTTTTTCTCTCTCTATCATGTGTTGGGTAGTTATCCCTCTTTCTAGGTAATGGGTAGTTATGCAGTTTCATTGTACAAGCCTATATATATATGGGCTCTATGAATGAGATAGGGGCAACCTGTGGAAGAAACTTGTGTAATAGAACTCTATGTCTATCTCTCCAAGTGTACCTGTTTTGTCTCCATAAATGCGTTCTTTCAATCTTGAGAGCGTAATGCTTTCTATTAACATAACATCCATAAAAACTAATAGTTGTATATAGCCTTATCCCCATAAATGCGTTCTTTCAATTTTGAGAGCGTAATGCTTTCTATTAACTTAACATCCATTAAAATTATTAGTGGTATATAGCTTTATCCCCTGAATGTCAATATGGTCATCAAAACTAGGTGAATCTTCGAAAAATATAAAAATAATAGTTTACATTAAAAAAAATTGATCAAAATATCTCCGTAATATTACGGGGATATTTTGATCAATTTTGTGTCTTACAGATTATTTTTTTATATTTTTGTTAAGTATTACTTGATGAGAAGAACACACACCTAGAAAAAAATTAAAATTCACACACTAATGAACATTCGTGATAATCAGATCGGCCCAGATTCAATTTGGGCCGTTGGGCCTATTATTTCTTTTGAGTCCACTTGCTCACAACATCATTTTCCATATATATATGAAAAACACTACGCAATGCCTATAGGTGAAACTAAATAGTGATTTTTCCTACCTCCATCACCATCCAAAGTTCATCGTGGGGTCACAATTGCCCGGTAGTATTTCATTTTTTATTTTTTTCTACAAATCGAAATGACCTGAAATTTGGAGCGTGTATTCAATCAAAATAGGGGAATCTTTGAAATGATAAAAATAATATTTTACATGAAAAACATCGACCAAATTACCCCTGAAAAGTTTCGGTGGTATTTTAGTCAATTATTTTTTACGGATAATTTTTTTTATATTTTTATTAGATGCGCCTCAGTAAGATGTACATACCGTACAAATTTCCATTATTCCGATTTTTTAAAAAAAATGAAAAATAAAATACTATCGGACAATCGAGACCGCGTGATGAAATTTAGACGGTGATGAGGGTAGGCGAAATCATATTCATTTTTCTATGGCGTTGGAAANCTTTTCTTCTATATATATATATATATATATATATATATATATATATATATATATATAGTTAGTGTGG